TATGTGAAAGTTTGGTGACACTTACCCGATAAGGTACAAACAAATCCATACCAGGTGCAGCCGGCTGAACCAAAGAGCCAGTGGCCAGCCGCAGTAGATACAAAGGAGAGCGAATTTCCAAGCACGGCCACAATACTATCGGCCACGCAAATGTTGAGCAAAAAGATGTTGACCACGTTGTGCAACGCCCGGTAGCGTGCGTATAGGAAAATCACGAGAGCGTCGCCAACGAAGCTGAGCAGACAGACCACCGCCAGGTATACTGCTAGGCCGGTAAAAGCCGATCGGCTCAGGTATGGCTCAAGTTGTGAAACGTTACCCGCAGTTGCAAGCAGGGAGGCGGTAGGGACCGTGGCAGCCATGGGCTCACAACTTTCCATTGGGCTGCTCACAAAGTGTCAGGGAAAAGAGAACCACAGGATGAAAGCGGGGTCTCTACCAGCAAGTGTCACTGCGACGCCCAGGCTTTTAAAATTGGTATCACGTGCGCAGCCATGTTCATCATTCGCAAAACAGCTGTTTGGTAGCCTAATGTTTGTTTGGTTGAATGCATATGCGTGCTTTCTCGCTCTACATAAGTTCAATTCCCAGACACGCTGACTCTTACTTCAGAGCTCAATTATCAGTGCAGAACTCACACTTTGTTCAATTATTTTACTGTGATGTTTGCAGTATGTCGCTACTGCAGGCTCTTGCACCTAGACTGGTACCCGATCCCAATAAGAGCTATTGCATCCTGAAGTAAAAATTGACCCCTGCTGGCGCGCTTCCGAGATCCTTGAATTGGAGAATAAATAGCAACGTATTTGTTGGTTTATTCGCTACTTAAGAAAATCACCTCCGAAAAAAGACCCCTGGTAATTAATTCCTCACTTAATAATTTATGAAATTAAAAAATGCCGAGACTAACATGATGAATCATGGAACTTAGTATGCTCGTAGGCTGATGCACTTAAAAATTTATGAACTCATTTCGTGTTGATCTTTATTTATTCATTTTTTTTATTCTCGTAAACACATTCACTTTATAAATATTTTAATCCCATAGGTTCCGATTCACAATATTCAAACCTAATGAAAAAGTCGCCATTAAAGCAATATACTGAAGGTATTAAAGTTATAAACGTCTAATAACATCAATGACAGTGTATATAAAAACTACTGGTCAAGAGGATATAGGTAGGCCTACAGAAAATAACTTAATGATAGACAATAAAACATAAATGTAAAAAAATTGAACCAGCTCAGGAAAATGGGCAGGACAATGACATAATTATAATATACAGGGTGAATCAGAAAAAGTATACAGTCAGAAAATTAACTGCACAATGAAAATGTGAACATTTTTCGAAAATCTCTCCTCCTGCATGGGTTGATCAGAGTATCATGCTGTTATTAAACTTGTGACCATGAACAGATTTTCACGCCCGAGTGACCAGAAGCTATTTTCCTAAATTTCGTTCCACACTGATTCGTGCCCTTCTCTAAACGTCAGAGACAGCACGTTTGATCATTGCTATGTTTTGACTGAGAGCAAAAACAGTCCAATGGCGTTAGGTCGGGTGATCTTGGTGTCCATTCCACAGGCCAATGCAATGCAATCACACGGTAATCAAACACTTCTGTCAGGCGCTCTGTAACCATTTTCCTCCTGTGTGGTGGAGTACCATCCTGTGCCCACCAAGCCCTTTGAAAAAAATCCATTTCTTTGGCGACGATAACGACGCATTTGATCAATGACTGGAACGATGTTAGTATTGATCATTTGTAAGTACATGTCACCGTTCACGTAGCTGTGAAAGAAGAATGGACCAATAATGCTCCCGCTCCCAATCAAACCTACCCAAACTGTCAGCTTATGCCTTTCACACTGCGTATATATAGTCAAAATCAAGTGGTCGCTGGCCACGGGGACGATATTCTCTGATGTTGTGGGTACTCCCACATCATCATTTAAGGCAAATCCTTACACATCTCCAATCATCAAATCTTCATGGAAGCGTGCATGTTGGCCAAGGAGCCACTGCCAAAACTGTAACCGTCACTGATGATCACGCGGAAGAAGCTGGTGTCGTTTAACCATTTGGTAGGGGTGGAAGCGTAAATCCGAGTGACTAATTCTGTTGAATGTAGCAAGAAGGTAACCCAAGTCCATTACGACGACAGCTCAACGTCTGGGCTCTTTCATCTCCTGCCTGCTGATTCGC